TATATAGATATTAAAAAGCAGGATTGCACCCTGTGGGACAATACAACACAATTGCCAAGGCACAATCCTCAATGCACAAACTTTAGCACAGACCCACCCAGTTCGGCAATATAGTGCTCCAACCTCATGAAGTTATTCCAGAATACTATGGCTGCTGCTATTAAAAACACTATGAGATGAAGAGGAATGACAGCACTGTACTTCCCCCTCCCTTTCTTCATAAAAGTCATCCATGAGAATGACCAAAGCTGATTCTATCCCAAAATCAGACCTGAACCCAAACTGACATGGGTCCAGATACTCTGTATCTTTCAAGAGTTGCTGCATTTTTTCCTGATGCTGCTACTATTACCCTTTCAAACACCTGAAAGGGAATATCTGTAACTAGACAATACTGGTCATAAATGTCTGGGTTGAAGGAGGGCTTTCTCAGGAGTGGTTGCACAGTTGTTTCTTTAAGGGCCACTGCCTCATGTAAAGATGCATTCACTGCTCCTTAAACCCACTCAATCAAGCCTCTGAAGCTAGAGCTAGTGAATTATGATGGGCATGTGGTCAACTGCATCACTGCAAAAAAAATCTCATGAAGAAAGATGGTGCCCTGGATATTTCCAAAAAAACAAAAAACAAAACCGTCTCAACATTGGCATTCAGATCACTATGAAGACAATGTTGTCCTCAAAGTGCGTACCAAATTTCTTTAAGCACACCTTTGCTGGTGCAGTTGACAATGAGCCTTGTACTACTCGAAAAAGTTCAACTGGATGGCAATGAAATTAGGAATGTAATATATACTCTCATGCATGTTGAAATGAGAACCAGTGTTTTAGGAGGGTCGATTTTATACATGAAAAACCAAATACAAGTATTTCTTTTGTTCAATAAAGGGACAGAACTGATTGAGCTACGGTGCATATAAATTATATTTTCAATTCCAATTTTGTGAAATCACAAAATTTATTGCATCAAAGATACACGTTAAGCATATTTTATTACTGTTATAATAAGAGCATAGTGTCAAGAAAAAATATTGGACAGTTGACATGGGAATGCATTTTGCAAAGCTGAATTAGTCCCAGTTCAAATAAATACATGATCCAGAAAGTAGTCCTCATATCAAGCCACTTATTTGCTTGATTTACCCTCTGAGCCTCAAGCTTGTGTGCTTTTTTGCCCACTTCTGCCACCACAACTATTCAAACACAGGATCTTGGACTCTGCGTAATAGAGGCAACCTTTCTAGCTGGTTTCTTCTTGCAGTGCCAATGAGAAAACCCACATAAAAAATTAAGGTAAGACCCATCTGTTCACTAGCAGCAAAAGCTTGCTTCTGTAACAATCCAGAATCCAAACCTGAAGGCAAACCAGTTTTTAATTAATCTTCAAGGAGTGTGGAGATAACTTGCTACAGTTGCAGTCACCTAAGGATATAATGCTTTGGTATAAAGTAAGTTCTTATGAAAACTGTCTAAATTAAAATTATTTTTAGCATAACTGGAAACAAAAGTGCATTTTTAAAACTGTTTTAGCACGCAAACCTATGGCTGCTAGATGACCAGAGGAAATTCCGTGTTCCAGCTTTGACCTTGGAAAAATGCAGCAAAGTTGAAGCTAAGACTCTAAATTTAAAGTGCCCTCCTACTTCCCAGCTAGTGTGGTTATTTTCTCACACACGAATTGCAGGTAGATGGATCACCTAGTCAATTCATCAAACGTGGCTTGGATCTGCAATCTCATAGTATATAGTGCCTTTCCCTTGAGAAGGCCTGAAGAATTACTACCACTTTTTGAATAGAATAAAAATGTATAAAAATGAACAAGAACACAGCAAAACACAAAGCTATTAATGTTAAAAGTATCCAAAAACTGTTTTGTAGTATCATATGGAAATATATTATTCAATTTTAATTAATGTAGTGATCATCCATTAGTTTTCTGTTGAACTAAAAAAAGTAAAAAGGTGTGAAAATCGAGCTATATAAGGGGGGGATTCTAACCCACTTGCAGCTTCTCCAAGCAGAATGATATACTAACTGGAATAATATTATTTTTAAGTGTAAGCCAGATGAATTACGTTGCCTTTTGCTTATGCTTGCAGACATGTAATACTGAGACCTAGCACTCAATGACAAGTTTTGTACAGTTAGGGCATTACATTTTATAATTCGCTAGAATATAAGGAGCGTTTCAAAGCAACTGTGTGAACTGGTCTTATCTGGAATGATTTGTTGCCACATTTCAGTCCAAGAGTATCATTTAAGCATGGATGGCGATAGCAGGTACAGCAGCTATGTACTGTATTTTCTGATAGATCAAGCTCATAAAAATCAGCATAAAAATAAATCCAAAAATAAATCTTTGTTTGCTGCATGGATGATTTCTTCATTATAAAGAAACTCAGAATATGACACATAAAAGGGAAAGAATCTGCAGGAATGGAAACAGATGTTCTAGCATTTTCTTTTGTTACAATAACCCTACAAGTTCTGAGTATACTAGAAAATGAACAAATTATTGATAAAACTATTATTAACGACAGGAACATCTTTTATGTCCTAGTCATGGGTTGGATCCAAGATCTGCCCTCCATGGTAAGGCCTCTATGTGCCGAAGCTCACACTGCATAATCTTGATGGGAGGTGGTCCCCTGTCTCCCTCAGAACACAGCTTACTACATTCAGCAGGGTCTCCTGACTCTCTGGGCAGCACTTTCAGGAGCTGCAGGGACTGCTGAGAGAAAAAAGGGGTCAGAGAAATCCACTTCAGCCTGCACAGTTGCTCCAGTATACATTTGGATCTAACATCAGGCATTTTGTCAATGTTTTACCATCCCAATGATCAAAGATTGTACAGAAAACATGCATTTCTAATTCCTTTAACATTCCACCTCCTCTAAAAATCACCATCCCCTGGTATCGGCTCAAATATTTGTCATCTGGTGGCAAATCGACACAGATATCCATATATTAACAAAGGAAATTAGCACATTCATTCTGCTTTTGTGATTAACTATGAATATGTATTTCAATAATTTTATATTATTCAATTTAAAAATGGTTAATGGAAATTAAGCAGCTCCTTTCCTTTAAAATACACCAGTGGATTCACTATATTAATGTATCCTCAGTTAAAGGAGGAAACTGAACACAGTTCTGATACCAGCAAAGGGGTGCAAAACTGCTCAAGCAACCAGACAAAGTATTTTGCTCCTTTTTCAGTATTAATAATGTTTATGTCTTAAGCTGCTTTCATATAATCCTTCATTGTTTTATAACTGCTGCTACTCTCAGAGGTGACATACTACAAAACTGAAACTAGCTACTGGAAGATTCTATAACAAAGAAGAAAAAAAATAGTAACCCTACTGTTTTCCTCAAATGCATTCTTTATCTTTCGTTTAAAAGCACATTATTTGTTGTACATCAAACAGCAAGATGCTACCCTGATGCAAGTATGTGTCATTCTTAATAGACTGGGTCTAATCTGTAAGTTGCTCCATGTAGACAGTGTACTGCACTGTGAATGGCCAGCCAGGTATTTTATGAATGGAATGGATCACGTGCTCCCAGCACTTCCCCAGCCGATATTTCCCACATAACAGTGTCAACAAGCAGAGAACAGCATTTTTCGACATAAAAACTCGGAAAATTCTAAACATTGAATCTAATACACTCTTTCTATTATCATGCAAAAATTTCATTTCCTGCAAGGCAGACCAGACCAAATGTCGAAAGTGGCGTAGGTTTATTATTTTTTTATGAATGAAGACTGTGGTATGCAAATTAGAACGATTCACAAAAAAGAAAATATGGCGGCTCCTTCCTTCTCAGTTCCACGGGTACTGCAGCACTTCACCTTATCAACTAGCTCAGCGCTGTGTTTCGTACTTTGCCTGCTGCTATTCAGGATTTGTCCCTGCAATTTTATATCATTCTAGCCATTCATAAAAAAAAATCCATTCACTAAAAAAGAAGCAGCAGAAGCTTGTTTGTTTACGGATTCTTCTTACGGAATTAAGATTTTATTTGGAGGAATGCATGCAAGTGACAAGTGTCTTATTCCCCATTCAAAGCCAGGAATTGTTTTTACAATTCAAGTTAACTGCTACAGACATTGAAAAAATAACAACTGCTGCTTTCTCCCCGAAGAATGCTTTTGCACTATAACAGAACCATAACTACTTCGAACTATGTTCAATCAAATAAAATGACTAATTCACAACTCATTCTGCAGAAAAGAATAACCACTGACAGGGCAGGATACAGGAGTCACAGGGAATTGTCATCGTTTTTCATTCCTTGGAATAAATGGGAAAGTTCAGGACAATTGACAGGATTAGCATGTTTCAACACACACGCACACACATATGATTCGAGACTCCATTTTTTTACAGTTACTTTGAAGACTATATCCCTGTAGATGAACAAACGTAAGTCTCCAGTGGATTTCATCCAAGACAAGCACATTAAATATATTAAAATCTTCTCGTCGTTCCACTTAAGGAGGAAAAAGTCCTAACACCTCATTAAAAAATACACTTTGGGGGAAGGTTTAACACTGTATTTGCACTGGCTGACTCATCCAATTAAAATTTAGGAGCAGTTTCCTACAGGATGGGGGTCCCACGCACTACTTGCCATATGAAACAAGCAAAGGAAAATGGGCTTTTTCATAACGTAGCATACAGGCCACTGCAAATCCGGGGTGGGGGATGGGGGTTCAGTCTCCAGCCCAGAGCTGCGCTTAAACACACGCACATACATCCTGGGTCTGTCGTGCCTTTTCAAAACCATAAAGGACGCCTTAATCGCAAGGAAGAACTGCTTTGGGGTATTTACGTATGCAGAAGCACACAGACGTATTCAAAACACGGGAGTAGGATCCAGCTATGCGAGAAACCCGAAGAGCGTCGATAAATGGAGGCGACCCAGCCAAAAGGACCCATTTCTCTCCCCCAAGCCCCGGCCAGTCGCACCAAGCGGAGATGAAAGCGAACTTACTCGTTGTTAGAATTCGCCGTCTCTTCGCTCATTTTTTCCTCACCGTGATCCGATGCGGGGATGGCGCAGCACCGACGCAGCCAGGGCGCAGCAGGAGCTCACCAGAAACCTCACCATTGTTAAACCCCAGACCGGCCTCCACTTCGCACCCGTCCGCCAGAATGGCCTCAATCCTTGGGGTGCCCAAAAAGCGGCAGCCTGCCAACCCCCCGCCCCTCTTCCCTCAGCAAGGAAACGAGAGGATCGTGTTTGTCCAAGAGTTGGATTTATTCCTGTCTGGCAGCGGCAATCCCAGGTCCTTTCGTCTTCTCTCACTTGGAGCGGAGTGGCTGCTGCCTCCGACTAGCCGAGTCTCTCAGCTGCAGCCCGGTTGCCTGACCGTGTCCTTGTGCTGCAGCTGCAACCAAGAATCCACATCTCCCGCTGCTGCAGCAGCAACTCACACTGGCTTTTGCCTCCTCCCCCCTCCCCTTTGCTGCCAGCCTCAGGGCAGGAAGGAAAGAACAGCAAGAGAAATTCCTCCAGACACCAGTAGCGTCCACCGATCCGAAAAAGGGAGCGCGAAAAAAAGAAAGAAAGGGGGGTGGGGAGAGAAAGAGGCGGCACAGCCTAGACCAGGAACAAGCAGAGGCAGGACTAAGAGGGGAACTAATTCAGCCCCAGGCAGGCGAGGAAGAGGGAGGAGGGAAGGTAAAAAGGAGAAGGGGGGAGTTTTAAAGCAGCCAGGAGTTACACGGCGGAGGGAAGATGCGTCCCGGCTGGTGGTGCTCGAAAAAGCCAAGGCAACTAGGAAAAGGGGTCGTTTCTCTCGCCTTCCCCAGAAGGAGAGCAAGTTCAGTAGTGTCCCCCCCTCCCCGCTCCTTGCGGGAAAACTGGCGGAAGCGTTGATTTCAAGCCCCTTCCGCCGCTCAATCTGAGAGGCGAGGGAAGGAGAGGAGACCGCAGCCCTCGTCCAATTGCCCGTTGGGAAGCCTCATCCCATGGAGCCTCGAAACGCTCGGGGCTGGCACCGAACTTTCCTACAGAAATGGTGGCGGCGAACCGCGCTGTGCGCACTGCCGCCCGCCCTTCTTCCTCGCGAACAGACCCCGGAGCCACTTAAAAGTGCCTCGGAAGAACACGGAGCCGAAGCTCCTTGCCTCTCCCGTCCGCTCGGGGCAGGGGCGAGCCGCCCACCCTAGTGCAGAAGCTCTCGTGCCCCCTTCTGTAAAGGGGCTGCTGGATGGCTGTCCTTCAGCAGCTTTTCCTTCCCTCCTGACCCCGCCTTAAAAAAACTAATAAACAAAAACCGCCTCGGGAATTGTCCTCTTAAGTTTGCACAGTAAACCCGCCTTGGTTATGGCAACAGCAGCTTCCCGAGCGAGCCAACCCAGCAGCCCCGTCTCCTCTTCCCCCTTCGCGCTCTGGCTGGCGTGGGGCTCGGGGCCGCCTTCGGAATTGGTCCCAGGCAGCCCTCCAAACGAACAATTAAGAGCCGGAGTTGGAGCAAGTTTTGCGAGAGCGGCCAGGCCAGTCCTGGATTGTTTGCCTGCGACGATGCGCACGGACTCTCCTCCAGAGGCCGGGGATTCTCGCTTCGACTGGCTTAACTACCCTGAAGGAAGAGAGCCAAAGGGGAAGGAAGGGAAATAATCCGTGTATTTTTCTCTCCTCCTTTCCTAGTCCGCTGATTTCTACCCAGCACTTTAGCTCGCGCCATGTAAACGAGTTTCCTTAGAGCAGTTCCCCTCTCGCCTTAATGTTTCTCCTCCCCCGCACCCTTTTTGGAAGCGCAGCGAGCGTCTCTCACGCGCACGGCGACCGCGGAGGGATACGTGGACCTTTTCACAGGCCTACACGCACACGCTTCTCTCGGAGTGTGCGCACGGAAAGACGCGCGGGGCGGGGGTGGGGAGAGGGTTAGGCGGGAGGGCTACGGAGCCTGCTTGCGAGGGCGGGATGGGTCGTACGTGTTTCGAGGCAAAGGTGGCTGGTGGGCCAGGAATGCTGGAGCTGGAAGGCTGCACGGCGCATGCACTCGCTCGCTGCCGCCGAGGCGCTTCTGTTTCTCTCTCGCGGTTGTCTCTGCAGCGGGAGTCGCTGGCAGCCGCGGGGCACGAGGATGGCACATTGGCTGCCCACGCGCGCGCGGGCGCGGGCATCCTGGCCTCGTGGAATGCCGGGGCGGCGGGCTGGTTTCTCTAGTCTAGAGGGAGCCCCACGGACAGAGCAGCGCCACTGCTGTGCCCGTGATTGCAGCTGCAGGATCGCAGCCGACCTCCAAAGAGCGAGCCCCGTCTGGGTAGATCGGTAGCACTGTTCGGGCTGTCGTTTGCCCTTGTTTCGCTTTTAGTGGGAGCAGGTCAGGCACATTGCAATTACGAATCGCGTCCTTTTAGATACAGTATCGCATCCCCTGCAGTCCAAGCGTGCGTTCATTTTCTTGCCGCCGGCAGTCGTATTCGTCGATTCGTTCCATTCAGCTGCATTTTCTGCTTCCCCTTTCCCACGTGGGGCTCTTGAGAAGGATGCGATTGCTGCTGCAAGTTCCGTTTATTATAGGGCTTTGTGGAAGGAGGGCAGCTGGAGTCTTTCCTCCGTGATGAACCCTGAGGATAGTTTCCCGCATAGCACTTCCAGTGCCATGAAACTTATACCTGGTTCGCACTAATAGCAGTTGATGCCTCGATGAGTTTTCCCAGAAAGCTCTCTGCACCAGCAAGTGCTATGGGTATTTTGATAGTTTATGGCAAAGCAACGTTATTCTGTTAGCAGTATTGTAGCATAGGATACAATCCAGACACACCTTCAGTTAAGCGTCCTTCATCAGAGCAGCAGCCCAGTCATGGCTTTAATTAGTTGAACCAACCACGATAGTATAAAAATGATGTCAGCTTTTGAAGCACCACTTTCAAAGGTGCTTCTGCATGTTCTTTAGCTTTGTTTGCTGCTCCCAACAGGTAGTGAGCATAAGTGAATTTTTCAGGTGTGATGTTTTCATCCTGCTTCTTGTTGACACTTTCTTATATTAGGGAGATGAAAGTGCAGTATAATGCTAATCATCTTTAATCAGAACTAAGGCTCTCTGCAGTTTCAAGTGGAATTGCTGCTTTGTAAGTGTGGGAAGAACTGAATGTGAACCAAAAGCTTGGGAAGGGGTAGCAAAACTTTTTGGAACTGAACTCAGTTGCAGAGTAATCTATTCCCATGAAGCTCCATGGTGGGTGGACTGAGCTAGTCATCTGCACCAGCCATCCAATTTAGGAAGGGATGTGCCTTAGAAGAGCTGAATCTCTTCTTGTATTTCCAACATAGTAACATTTAAAAAAGGTGTCGTTGGGGACCACTGCCTGAAGACAACTTTTCAGTTAGCCAGGGAGACAGCCAGTACACCTTGCAGCCTATTTCCTTGTGCAAAGCAAATTGCTGTGGTGCAGTGGGAAGACGGGCAGTATCAGTTTATTGGAGTCTTTCCCATAGGTTCCCCAGATGCCCTCCATATGTTATAGATTTCAGCTCTGATGAATCCTTTCCGGCATGACCAACGGGCAGGAATTCTGGAGGTTGTAATTCCAAACATCTGGACATCACCAGCAGGGGAAGGCTCAATTTCCAGGACTCTAGACAAACCAGTTTTGTTGGCAAAGTGCAAAGGCCAGGCAGGTGAGGAAAGGTGCCACTGCAGTCCAACCACCAGTGAACTACTTTGCCCACTGGGTAAGCAGCGTGCATAAAGAGAAGGGTGCTATTTCCACACTGGGGAATGTGTGTAAAGCACCCACAAGAACACCAATACAATTTTATTAGTTTCCTTTTAATGTAGCAGAGCCAAAAGTTACTGCTAATTAATTTAAATTAATGTAAATATGAATTTACTCTTATGCACCTCCTTGGATGCTCAAACTCTTCCTGCTTCATTTTTGCCAGTCATTTGGTAGTTTTCTGAGTTTGTGTGATTTTCCCTGACAATTCTAAAAGGCTGAAATGCCTCTCCTAAGGCTTAGTTACTTGCAATAAGTACTTTAGTCTAAAATATTCTGGTGGTTTTGGTATTTTGCCCTGTCTACCCTGTATAACCCTCGAAACTACTTTGAAAGTGTAGTAGGCCCTCAGCCTGAAAGAGGCTCAGTAACACTAATTTACATATGTAAAGTTCTCATTGTGGTGTGGTTGGCAGACCTGGGTCACACAATCACCATGGGTTATTACTGTCTTACTGGAAAATAGCTTTCTCCTCCAACACTATGCAATTCCAGGCTGGATGACATGATGAGCCACACTCAGGTGGATAAGTAGCATATGACGCTCAGCTTGAACGATACACTGTTGGCTTGTTTAACCCCTGGTGGTCATGTGAAGTAAAAAGGTGGTTTACAAGCTTGTTTCAATAAATTTGTTTACAGTCTCAGGCAAGGGATTTCACAAGTAGGTCTCTTACCCCCAAGCAAAGAACAAACTTCCTTATCTTACTGTCCACATACGTTCTGACTGTTTAGGGAGCCATTCCTCCCTGGAAACATCTGTCTCTTATACACGCACACATACACGTGTGCCAGATTTGAGAATGAGTCAGACAATGTCCAGACAGGGTTACTGCCCTGTAGTTCTTCGCTCAGATGGCTTACTGGATAGCAGTAGAATCCTGACAAGAGGCTTGATAGCATGCCTTCCTCCTCAGACAGTGTCACTGATGTTTCTGGCAGTCATAGCCTTGGTAAAGAGCAACTTCCTTCAACCACCTGCTCTCCATATCCATTCTTAGAACAGTGTCAGTAACAATGTCTGTGCCAGGAGGTCAGGACAGCTGATGACACAGGCACTAGTTTCACATCACTTCCCAACTCCAAAGACAATTTCTGCTTCCCCAGGATGCTTCAGCCAATGCAGCCATTTGTTCCTTCAGTTCTTTCTCCTCAAATTTATGCTGGATTTTCCCAATTTTTTTCTCCACTTCCTTTTCTATCTTTTCCCAAAGCATGTCTCTAGTGCCTTTCTTTAGTTGAACGGTATATTACCTCTCCATGCTCTTAACGGGTATTGCATTCCTAAAGTCAGAGATTTTCAGCTCTTGGGAAAATACCTGACACTAGCTCCTGCCAATGAAACCATTGATTAATGCTAAGCTATCACTCTGCAAACCCCATTTCAAGTCTCCTTTGGTACAGCAATATGGTAGGCACTTCCATATTGACTGAAACAATTTTCCACCATAAGCCCCATGGTCTGAGCAAGAAGGTGTCTTTTCCTAGGATTAACTTAATCTTGGTACTAAAGTTTGAGACCCAGGATGGGGAAGCTGTATGAGACAAATTGAATCTGCAAAGGAAGCTCAGCCTTGAAATTAGAAGAACTGTGGTGGACAGGCCCTTTCGGAAGGCACTCACTCATGGGGCCTCGTGTCCCAAGATCTTGAAACTACAAGCCCGCTTTGTGCTCAGAAGTTGCTTTGCAGGAAACTTTTAATTCAGGGCAGGGTCTTAATAAGCCAGTTTTCCTAGGTTTCTATCATCTGTATTTTGCCTTTTATGAGTCATTTAAAACTTTTTTAGTTGCAGTAAGCATTTTATAAAAAGGGAAGAAATAAGTTTGAGAAGAAGTAAAACTTGCAATGATTTCTTACCAGTATGCAATTACAATTTTAAATCTTAGCACAGAATTAATGGATAGTTTTAAAGATACATTTTGTATCCAAATAGTGCTGCTTAGATCATTAATTCATTCCATTTCTACACTGCTCACTAGCCAAAGCTCTTTGGGCAGTTAACAACAATGTATACAGTATACTAAAATTCATAAATACAACAGTGTGACATTTCTAATCTGAGCAACTGCAGCAAAATTAGGCATCTCTTCCCTGAAGCAGTCACTCCCAAAATGTAGTTCCAGCCTTGCTTTTAAGGTCTTTGAGGTGGGGAGCAGGTGGAATGCTTCACCCTTGATGGGATAACATCTCTCCCTTGAAGTTGATCTATTTTGCCTGATAAAAATTTGTGGCAGCCTACTTTTCAGAAAACTATGCCAAATAATAGCTGTGGTTCTGCATATAGCTTGGCTGTTCAACTCGCAATGACCTTGATGAGATTTAAGCAGCCAAACTGTGTAGACTTGAATCCTTGCTATGACGTCTCATTTTTATGGCCAGAATCTCTTGGCTGGGAGAACAGAGCGGTCATTGCCTGGATTCTGCTAATATGGATTTAGTTGCATTGAGCTGCTTATATTAGTAGTTCAATAATATCTGATCTTGTTAATTTCTAAACAGGATTCCATGTATAAATGTCAGATGGAGAAAATGCTCTCTCTGTTAGAGATTTGTGTACTTAAACTAGAGTGTTTCCAACAAATCTCTAAAACAGATTACAAACGGATGTGTACACACACACACACACACACAGAGAGAGAGAGAGAGAGAGAGAGAGAGAGAGAGAGAGAGAGGAGAACTGACTGTACTAATTTTATCACAAATGATTCTAACAAATATTATTTGAAAGTTGAATTGTATTATTTATTTTATGGCCATTTATGTACCCTTCTTTTATTGCAATAGTAATAGGGAAGCTTTGAAGAAATTAAGCAAAATAATAGTAAAAATTAAAACTGCTCTAGAGAGAAGTTCCATGGATTAATATCTCACTATCTCAATAGAGTGATCCATTAAAACCTCTTTAACCTGGCAAGCCAAAGGACTGATAGATCAGAAACATCTGTTCTGGAGGCACTAACGAAATTG